GCTATACACATATAAAGAAAATCAATGACCCCCGGGGTGGGGCCAATTTTGACCCCAGGTTTTTTATTTGAACAAACTTTGTAGACACTCACTAAAAGATGTTTCATGCTTAATATCTTAACTCTAGCTATTTGGTTTTTTTCAAAGAAGATTTTTTAAGTTTTTGCTATACACATATAAGGAAAATCAATGACCCCAGGGCGGTGCCAATTTTGACCCCAGGGCTTTTATTTGAACAAACTTGGTAGACACCTATTAGAACATGTTTGATGCTAAATATTTTGGCCATAGCTATTTGAGTTCTTTAAAAGAAGATTTTTTAAGTTTTTACTATATGCATATAGGGAAAATCAATGACCCCCCGGGGCGGGGCCAATTTTGACCAAAGGGCTTTTATTTGAACAAACTTGGTAGACACTTATTAGAACATGTTTCATGCTAAATATCTTAGCTCTAACTCTTTTGGTTCTTTAAAAGAAGATTTTTTAAGTTTTTACTATATGCATATAGGGAAAATCAATGACCCCCTGGGGCGGGGCCAATTTTGACCCCAGGGCTTTTATTTGAACAAACTTGGTAGACACCTATTAGAACATGTTTGATGCTCAATATCTTAGCCATAGCTCTTTTAGTTCTTTAAAAGAAGATTTTTTAAGTTTTTACTATATGCATATAGGGAAAATCAATGACCCCCCGGGGCGGGGCCAATTTAGACCCCAGGGCTTTTATTTGAACAAACTTGGTAGACACCCATTAGAACATGTTTCATGCCAAATATCTTAGCTCTAGCTCTTTGGGTTCTTTAAAAGAAGATTTTTTAAGTTTTTACTATATGCATATAGGGAAAATCAATTACCCCCCGGGGCGGGGCCAATTTTGACCCCAGGGCTTTTATTTGAACAAACTTGGTAGACACTCACTAGAAGATGTTTCATGCCAAATATCTAAGCTCTAGCTCTTATGGTTTTTTAAAAGAAGATATTTAAAGTTTTTTCTTTCGGTTGCCATGGCAACCAGAGTTCTGCAAGGAATTAAATTCTTTGAACAATTTTTAAAGGTGACCACCAAAAGAACATTCCTGTGAAGTTTGGATGAAATTGGCTTAGTGGTTTATGAGGAGATGTCATTTAAAGTAAAAGTTTACGGACGGACGACGGCCGGACGCCGGACGGACGGACGCCGGACGAAAAGCGATCACAAAAGCTCACCCTGTCACTTTGTGCAGTAACTGTCTGGTCGATCTTTTTTTTTTTTTTAATCCATAAAGGAACTGACTCTTTATTATTACTAGATGTAGGTTGGACTTATAATTTGACACTGAACTTGAGCCATAAAACTTACAAGACAAAACAATATAATCATGCCAATTCCACTACTTTAGTTCGTTACAACACCACTATACAAAACTTAATTGGGTAATTGCAGTTATAAAGCCTTCTAAAAACAGACACATAAAAAAATTATTTACACAAATAAATATTGAAGTTTGGTGACAAACAACCCCATCTGTCATAATTAACACACTGACCTAATAAACTTTCTTTCTTATTTAAGAATGCAACCAAATATCTAACACAAAGTAATTATTGTTGAATAATAGTAGAAAATGAGATTTTTATCTTCTTTTCTCTGATTTATTCAATTCAAATTATAAGGTTTGAGGGGACACCTACAGTATTTAAATCTCATTATACAACTCTCAAAGTTTTTTACTGATCAAGAAAGGACCAATGTGTCATTCAATGTTTGTTTGTTTGTTTGTTTTGGGTGTTTCGTCACATCAACACAGTATAGGTCATTTGGCGAGGTTCCAGCTTTACTGGTGGAGGAAGACCTCAGGTGCTCTTCCGTGCATTATTTCAGGCACGAACGGGCACCTGAGTAGAACCACCGACGTTCCGTAAGCTAGCTGGATAGCTTCCTCACATAAAAGAATCCAAAGTCCCTGTTGGGATTCGAAACCACAGCGGTGAGGGGCATGTGTTTTGAAGGTCATTCAATGTATCAAACAGTCAAAAGTAAGAATAACTTACTTCCTGCGTTGTTTATATTTATATTAATAACATTTATTCCTTAAACAACATCAACTGTCCAACATCTTTCTCTCAAAAAAGGGGAGGCAATTTGAATGAACAAGACAACTAAATCTCTTAAGATTAATAAACTATGGAAGTTTTTTTCTGAAATATTAGCTAAGATTTGTTTGCATGAACTTACTGATCTTATATCACTACCAATTAATAACTTTATACTTTATCCCTTTTTTATTGATTTCTTTCTTTATGGTCGAGTTTCATATGTCACTATAAAAATGTGTACAATCTATAACAAATTCTGTAGAATACACTGGCTCCAGTATTAATCCAACTCTAATATACTTGATGCAGTATCAACCAAACTCTAATATACTGGATGCAGTATCAACCAAACTCTAATATACTGGATGCAGTATCAACCAAACTCTAATATACTGGATGCAGCATCAATCAAACTCTAATATACTGAATGCAGTATCAACCAAACTCTAATATACTGGATGCAGTATATCAAACTCTTATATTTTGGATGCAGTATCAACCAAACTCTAATATACTGGATGCAGTATCAACCAAACTCTAATATACTGGATGCAGTATCAACCAAACTCTAATATACTGGATGCAGTATCAACCAAACTCTAATATACTGGATGCAGTATCAACCAAACTCTAATATACTGGATGCAGTATCAACCAAACTCTAATATACTGGATGCAGTATCAACCAAACTCTAATATACTGGATGCAGTATCAACCAAACTCTAATATACTGGATGCAGTATCAATCAAACTCTAATATACTGGATGCAGTATCAACCAAACTCTAATATACTGGTTGCAGTATCAACCAAACTCTAATATACTGGCTGCAGTATCAACCAAACTTTAATAAACTGGATGCAGTATCAACCAGACTCTAATATACTGGTTGCAGTATCAACCAAACTCTAATATACTGGATGCAGTATCAATCAAACTCTAATATACTGGATGTAGTATCAACCAGACTCTAATATGCTGGATGCAGTATCAACCAAACTCTAATATACTGGATGCAGTATCAACCAACACTATTATACTGGATGCAGTATCAACCAGACTCTAATATGCTGGATGCAGTATCAATCAAATTCTAGTTTATTGGATGCAGTATCAATCAAACTCAATTATACTGGATGTAGTATCAATCAAACTCTAATATACTGGATGAAGTAAAACCAAACTCTAATATACTGGAAGCACTATCAACCAAACTCTAATATACTGGATACAGTATCAATCAAACTCTAATATACTGGATGTAGAACTCTTATATACTGGATGTAGTATCAATCGAACTCTAATATACTGGATGTAGTATCAATCAAACTCTAATATACTGGATGCAGTATCAATCAAATTCTAATACACTGGATGAAGTATCAACCAAACTCAAATATACTGGAAGCAGTAATAATCAAACTCTGGGTCTGGACCCAATATCACCCAAACTCTAATATAATGGAAGCAGCATAAACCAGACTCTAATATACTGGATGCCGTGTCAACTAAACTCTTATAATTTATACTAGATGCAGTATCAATCAGACTTTAATATAATACTTTAGTAACAATCAAACTCTAATAGACTGAATTCAGCATAAATTATACTCTAATATACTGGATGCAGTCATACCCAACTCTAATATACTGGATGTCATCTGACTAGACTTGAAGATAATGAATGACTAAATGTATTATCAGCAAAGTTTCTGCTATTTATTGCAAGTGTTAAAATAAAGTTAAACTAATTGAAAATTTACTTACATCTTTTAACAGTTCAGTGCCCATTGTCATTTCCAATGTATTATTTCACACAAACAATACTCATATATGAATTTTAATTAATTTTCATTTTCATGTCACGTAAAAGAAAATGGTCAGTTCAAGTCACTACTATTTATTTTTCTTGACTTAATTTTATATGTCAACAATTGTATACAGCTAGGCTGGAAAACAGTAGCATAAATTTCCTACACTCTTCTCTCCTTTGAAAATGAAGAAAAAACAATTAGTCCAATAATATCTATTTGACAGAAAAAAATTAACCTAGGATATTATTTTTATATCTAAAACGCATGTCTAAACAATTTTCTTCAAAGTATTTACGTTGAAAACTTTGTGCCAATTTCGATGGCCGGGTCAGTACAGTACCTTAAAGCTACTTAAAACAGGACAAAAACACATTACGTTAGTAAGCAGGTCAGTTAATGGTCAAGCAAATTCATTCGCTTTTTACTCTTTTAATCATCTGACCCAACCAAGTAAAGATTAAATATTTACACAAAGGGTTTGAAAATTATAATGGTCACTTCTTACGAATTACATTCGAACCTTTTGAAATAAAATAAAACTTTCACACACGAAAGCTTAACATAATGCTATGTGAAAGACTATTGTGACCGTAGAAATTTGACCACTTGACCTTTCCATAGAAATATTTTGATTTTATAGCAAAAATATAAACAAACAAAATACCACATCTGACCTGAAACCTTTCTGTATGTTTGAGATATTTTAACTATGCACTGTTAGTGTTTTTTGTTGTTGTTTTTGCTGTTGTTTGTTTTATGTTTTATTAAATTAACACTGCACAGGAATTTCATGATTTGCATTACAGCCAATAAAATTTTCCCTAGTGAAAATATAGCTAAGTCTTTTACTCCCTCTTGGTGTGATTTTCATTAAATATAAACAACAGAAAATAGTAATCTACCGTATTCATATATATGTAAATATGAAACATTCAAACCCATGAAAATGAAAACTGACAAAATATGTTGTACTTTGCATAGAACAACAACATTGACAATGTATATTACACACAAGAAAATATTTAATATTATAAAACTTTGACATTAATGTGATTGTTTCTTACTTTCATGTTATACTTAAAATACAAAGTTGCATGGTATACTCACATCAGTTATTTCATGCGTTTTCACGCCATCAAAGTCTGACATATCATCTTGTAGACGTCCCGACATCGCCTCACTACTTGACATAGAAACACGTGTAAATTTTATTTTTTCGTTGGCGACAAATTGTTAAAATTCTTAATTTATCAGTCAGTAAAAATAATTTTCCTATTAATAAAGGTACCAGAACATTCAATAAAGATATCACTGACCAAACATCCTGGTGCAAAAAAAACTTTAAAGACTGCATACAAAATAACACAACCCAACATATATGTATGTATATCGTCTTTGGCAAAACAAAATGGTTTTCTATACTTTATCAAAACTCTACAAATTAATCTCTCTATCAAACTATTTTAATCTTTTTGTTCTGCTAATCCATTCACAATAAAGCTGAATGTTAATCTAAAAAAATATATTCCTACGTAAATGTTTTTGACATAAATGTTTTTTGGCTCGATTTCATATGATCTTTAAAAAGTAACGTTCCAAAAGTAAACATTGCATCACCAGTCACACACATCCAAAAATTCCAATATTACGAATGTTTACCATGCACCTCTAAACGTTTAGTGACTATTACGTATTTGGCACGATTCAATGTATTCTGCAATCAATAGGTTCCATTACGAGGTTAATATAATATTGCATCATCTCATGAAGACAAAAAAAGGTGTCACTATAACACGAGACTTATTGTAAACAAATGTATAAATAAAGAAGAAGGTATTTAGTATTACGATACCCAAAATGCCGAGGATAATAGAAATCACTTGTAAAGAAAAATAAAATATTACTCGTTGATTTTCACAGCCCAAATGTTATAAATTATAATAATATCTACAGATAAATACTAAAATATTCATATATAGCAAACATATGTTACCATATTACAGATAAGTGAACATATATATTTAATCAATAAAAAAAAAACAAGATTGCATTTGAGAAAAATGCTATGCCACCGCATTAATACAACACTAAATAGTAGTGTAGGAACAGATATTTTTTCGTTTCTATACAATTGAAGATTGTCATAATGCATAGATCCCTGACCTATCTAATTCTTATCATCAGATTAGTGGTTGAATCTATTGTTAATCCAATAAAAGATCAGAGTAGGAATATATCAATGCACTTGAGTCTGGTGAATTTGGTGGTGAAGGTCATATTTTCACACAGCCTAAATTTCATGGACAACACAGTAAGACACTTTGTTAAAATCTAGGTCAGCTGATATCAAAGTTCACTTAACATCTTAATCTGTGCACATGGTTCAAATTTCATAGCCAAGAAAGTAGGTCACATCATCAAAATCTAGATCACCTGATATCAAAGTTCAATTTTACAACTTAAACTGTGCACATGGTCAAAATTTCATTGCTGTACATCAAAGGATAAGAAAGTAGGTCACTTTCCCTTGGGCAAGGCAAAATTTTGACCCAAGGGTTTAATTCAAAAAAATCTTGATACAGGTCCACCAAACAACATTTCAAGTCAAATATCTAAGTTGTAGCTTTCTCCCATTCAGAAAACATTTGTTTTATTTTCTGTTTTTACTATGTGTACATAATGACCCCAGGGCTATAATTTGAACAATCTGGGTAGAAGTCTACCAGACAATGCCTTATGCAAAATATCTAAGGTCTAGGCCTTTTGGGTCTTTACAAGAAGGTATTTTAAGTTTTTACTATATGTACATATAGTGAAAATCAATGACCCCCGGGGCGTGGCCGATTTTGACCCCAGGGCTATCATTTGAACAATCTTGGTAAGGGTCTACCACACAATGCCTTATGCAAAATATCAAAGCTCTAGGCCTTTTGGGTCTTTACAAGAAGGTATTTTAAGTTTTTACTATATGTACATATAGTGAAAATCAATGACCCCCGGGGCGGGGCCGATTTTGACCCTAGGGCTATAATTTGAACAATCTTGGTAGAGGTCTACCAGACAATGCTTTATGCAAAATATCTAAGCTCTAGGCCTTTTGGGTCTTTACAAGAAGATTTTTTAAATTTATTCTTATAATTCCTTTTGGTTGCCATGGCAACCAGATTTCTGCATGGAATGAAATTCTTTGAACAACTTTGGAAGCCCTTCACCCAAGGATCAATCCTGCCAAGTTTGGTTGAAATTGGACCAGTGGTTTTTCACAAGAAGATTTTTGAAGTTCACTATATAATCTATATAACACACACACACACAAACAAACAAACAAACACACACACACACGCACACACACACAGGTGAATCGCTATATGCCACCGCATCGCAGATGCTGCGGTGGCATAATAACGGAAGGAGCGTAACAAAAAAAAAACACACCTTGGGACAGCTTTATTTATACAAAAACAAACTGTTCAATAAATACAACCAATATTGCAGTGCTTCCTACATTAAAATATAATTATATTAATTATCAAAATAGCTTATCAGAAAATCATGCCCCCCCCACTGTATAAATGAAATACATTATCACTAAAACATGGATTAAAAAGAAGTTCCATGACAATAATTATCCTCAATGAAATGCATCAGACAATTTTCCCACTTAAACATGGGTGCAAGTAAAAAACGTTCTATGGCAGAAAATACATATCCTGGTACATTTGCTATATCGGTATCTTTTTTGCTATTCATGAAACATTTATAGCAACAATAATTATCTTGTAGCCCATTACACACTCATGACTTTAATAAATTAAATCTTATCACCAAAACACACCTTGATGTAAAAAAAAAAATGGGTAAACGAATTATAAATTTTCAAGTTCACTTTCTATTTTAATACTCGGTGGTTCTGTTATCAGTATAAAAAGAGGAGGGGCAAACAAAAGAGGGTCGCATGTATGGCTACCTTTCAACATTTTAGCCCCCCTGTTTTTTTTCCCATGTTTTGAATGAAAACCTGTCCATCACCTTCAATGTATCATGTATTTTGTACTGAAAGAATTGTCAATTTGGTAAATATGCTGCTGGTTATTCCCCACGGTATTTCAGATACATGGACCCCCATATGTTTGAGATTTTGTGAGTCCACTGAAGGTTTTAGGGGGTCCTCATATCACCGTTAATATACGGCTATATAACATGTCAAAATACTATTTAAAGTGGCATTGAGCTTTTCTTTTTTGTTTTTGTTTTGTTTTGTTTTGGGTTTTACGTCACATCGACACAGTATAGGTCATATCGCGACGTTCCAGCTTTTACTGGTGGAGGAAGACCTCAGGTGCCCTTCCGTGCATTATTTCAGGCACGAATGGGTACCTGAGTAGAACCACCGACGTTCCGTAAGCTAGCTGGATAGCTTCCTCACATGAAAGAATCCAAAGTTCCTGTCGGGATTCGAACCCACAGAGTTGAGGGGCAAGTGGTTTTAAGTCAACGACCTTAACCACTCGGCCACGGACGCCCCTTGAGCTTTTCTAAAGATTATATAATTATATTATGTTAAGATACATTGTTTCCCAATCTTCTATTTTTAGAAATGAACGTCACTGCACACTATAAATACTGAGCTCTTGGGGCACTGTTCTGAAAAAGGCTTCACAGTGATATGATGCACATTTCCTAGGTAAAAAATATTACTGAAATACTTAGTTTGAAACAGCTCAAAAATAGTTTTCCAACATAAAATTAAAAGCTGAAGGCCGCTTTAACTTGTAATATATAAATGAGCCGCGTCACGACAAAACCAACATAGTGCGTTTGCGACCAGCATGGATCCAGACCAGCCTGCGCATCCCCGCAGTCTGATCAGGATCCATGCTGTTCGCTATCAGTTTCTCTACTTGTAATAGAATTGGTAAGCGAACAGCATGGATCCTGATCAGACTGCGCGGATGCGCAGGCTGGTCTGGATCCATGCTGGTCGCAAACCCACTATGTTGGTTTTGTCGTGACGCGGCTCAAATGATATTATACATGTTTCCAAGTCATTAAACGCAGTAAAATACACCATGCACTATCAGGTGCACGTCATGTGAAGGCAACTTTATCAACACTAGTATTTTGATGCAGTCTCAAGGTTTAAATACAATACAGCTGGCTAATCATTAGTTAACTTCAATGTTCTGTAAAAACTTTCAAAAAGTTCATACAAGTACAAATACACATTACAACAAACAATTATTTCTCTCTTTCCAAACAATCAAGGTTTTCGATATGCAGTTGCGTCACTCCTTTAAAACTTCATTTCAAACCGCAAATTAAATTTTCATTTGCTATTATTTAAACTTTTAGGAAATCAATAAACCTAGATATATATATTAATGGAATATTAATGGGATAAACTTGGTCTATGTCAACAAGCATTTTGACTTAATAGCAGTTCAATCATTCCCTATGTGAAATCATGTTTTTTTCCTTTTACTGTAAAGGTTAATTGTTCTCCACATATATCCAACAACTCCTCATCATCTTTGTTTCGCCTCCCACAATGATATTTTTAAAGCTAGCCTTCACATAATTTGAAAAAGTCACAAAAGTTCCTATACCTACTGGCTTTTTGGCCCTTGGAAGAAGAAAGGATAAGGGCAATTTGGTTTTGGATAAATACAAACAATTTAGCATTTGAATGCAAAGCAAAAGAGTTGATCAAGACCTTTAATAAGATTATCTTTAAAATAATAAAATCAAATAATTTTATATGCTTTTACATTGAAAGTAATACAAAGAATAAAATCTGTAAACAATACACAGCTGAGCTACTATTACCCTCACATTACATCCAGGAATTGCCAACTTTGAAGAGTTTTCTAATAAACTTCTCAAGTTTTTATAAACAATTACTTCTTCTAAATTAACAATTCAAAACATATGTTTATGTTAAAGTCTTTAATTCGGAAATTTACTACATGTATTTTATCATGGCCATTTTGTATATACTGAATGAAAAAAGTGACAAGAAGTCTAAATTGTTTACAGACTGGCCATATCTTGAATACAATAATTAATTAACAGTCACCATGCTAAATATAATGTATCTTAAATGGATTTGTCCATCTTTCATTGTGGACAAAACCATTCATCATTTTTAGGGAAAATTTCAAAATAAGTACTGACTGAATAGTGGACATTGCAGACCATGATCAGACATGGCTGTACTGTCAGCACTGGTTACACTGACTGAATAGGTAGATTTAGTGGCTGCAAGCTGCCCATGACTTAATTTTACTTAAACAAAATAGAAGCAAAAACAACCATAATCTCAACTAATGATGTTAGAGGAGAAGTGGACACCTATGTAAGGAAAACTAGAAATAGCATCACAGGAATCCAAGCAAAAATGTTATCAAACTCTCGGATTAAGAATAGAGTAAATTGGTTTGGAGCATTATGCAAACACAGGAGAATGACTTTTCAACCTTCGTCAGCCAGCACTTGTGGCAGTAATGTCAAATCTGTACTTTAATGCCTCCCATATAGTGCTGTGTCAGCTAGCACATGTGGCAGTGAGTTATGTTGGTTATGTGCAAATATGCTTCTCGTATAGTGCTGTGCCAGCCAGCATTTGTGGCCGTAATGTCAAATATGTGCTAATATGCCCCCCTCCCCCGCCATGAAAGTGCTATATCAGCCAGCATTTGTGGCAGTAATGTCAAGTGAAAATCCTTAATT